AATGAACTACAAATTGATTCACGTAATTTACGCGAATTGAACGAACTATAAATGGATACAAATACAAGTAATTTGCAGAATACTTTCATCTTGATTGTTGCGAGAAAATAATATTAATGTCTTCAGTTTTTGTACGATCGGTGGTCTGCAAGATATATTAATTCGCAGAATAATTTCTTGCCGAGATCGTTCAGCCCTGAAACTCAAAACTACCGATTTACAATTTTCTTCGATATAAAGCGCCGATCTATTTTACATTCTGAATGCACGTTCAACATTTCGCTTCATAGAAAATGACTCAACCTCCCAAAGAAAGCCAATGAATAATGCAAAGATAGCGCGGAGTTTCGATTCCCGACAAAATAGACCGTTTCAGAAGCCACCGGGTTACCGATACAACCGATATACATACACCTGAACGTCTTCGACGGGCCAAATTTTCTATCACGAGAACGAGCAAATGGCGATTAACATTTATATTTCAGCGCAAACTGTTATTTCCGAGAGATTCTCATTCGCGTGGAAGAAACGTTATTAATCATTCTTGTATAATTACACGTTCACCGTCGATTCGAAAACACAATAAAGCAAAGGTTAAACTGAAGCAGTTTGCAATTACCGTGCTGCATCGACCTAGTTCTGCAAGAAATTAATTTGATTTGCCTTGCGAAAAAGCTTCAAACGTAGAAACGATTTTAAATGATTTCATAATCGAAGAACTATATCAAAGTTCATTTTCAAATCCTGAAAATTGTATAGGCATCCTCGCTTCAATCGTTGCTATTTTTCATCGAGATGCAATTTTCCGGATAATTACTTTCGATGACTGATTGCAAAGGAACGAGAAGAAATCAGCAGATCTCGTTGCGATAAAAGTACGAAGCAAGCAATGAAACGTAAGAAACGTTTACGGATAACGACGTCAGAATTCGCCTCCGAATTCAGAAAATTGCACGAGCGTCCTGTATAATCGCCGTGATTTCTCAACAAGTTGCAGTTAAACGATGGAATGCCGTCAGATTTTATTAACAATGAAGGCATCGTACGGATAATACAGCTCAAGAAAAGCGCACAAATTTTTTAATTGAGCGACCGTCGTCTATTCAGCGGCACACAAACTGTTGAATAAGTCACGGAAGTTCGAAGGAAACAGATTATCGGATTAGCGTGCCGTCGGATCTGTTTTACGGATTTAAGGGTAGCCGGCTGCGGCAAGTGCGTGGCCTATTAGGGGTCGGTTTTACGGCGAAATTATTTACGATAAACAGGTCGGACGGTATTAGCCAAGGATCAGGTGGCGAGGTCCGCCGAACGACCGATTCCTACGGAAATCAGGTGTACGGTTCCCAGAGATATACTCGTCGCTGTCAACGAGAAATAAGTATTCCGTTCATGTGTCAATACCCCATGATCTGTTCTATTTGCATGCTAAAATATTTAGCACGACTCTTCGAAACTTTATTGAACCCCTCAGATTATCTGGAACCGCGACCAATCGTGACTGAAAGTACGATCAGCTGATCGGTGAGCTGCGACATAATGCCGGTTATAATTTTGAATAAATGCACGATAATAAAAGTGCAACAATATTTATTATCATTATAGGAATGCTCGCTGCAAGCTGAAGTTTCATGCTGGATATATCCAAGAATTTCTTCGTTCAGTAATTATTTAATCATTTTTAATCTTTAATTAGTAGGGAGGAGTGTCTTTGATACACTCGGAACCACCTGTCTTTGTAGCGAACACGATTGGTTGCTAATTAAGTATTATTTTCAGCGAAATATTGCAACGAGTTGATATTAGTATTATTTATAAAAATATATCGGTTGATTGATATAAAATTGATTGATATAAATATCATTTACGAAAGAATATGGAGATTGAGTTGATGTAAATATTATCTAAGAAAAAATATTCAGAACGGGCCGATGTAAATATTGTTCGTAAGAGAATATTCAGAATGTGTGAGTCGATGTAAATGTTATTTATAAGAAAATATTGAGATTGAGTTGATACCAATAGGAATGTTGAGATCAAGTTGATGCAAGTACTATGTCGAAAAGAATATTGAGATTAATTCGATATAAATATTATGTCCAAAAGAATATTGAGATTATGTCGATCTAAGTATTATGTCTAAGTGAACATTATGATTAAGTCGATTTAAGTGTTATATGTCCAAAAGTGAGTATTCAAAAATATTACAAATAGACAATTTCATTGTTTCGTTGAACAGATAAGATTTATTCCAACGACTGCTTCCGACGAAACTGTGCAAACCATTGAAAATTAGAAGTTAAGAATTTCTCTGTCACTCATCAAAAGATTGTTCAATCAATTTCTGCATAAAAAAAGGAAGGAACCTTTTCTACCAACTTGATCGCACAGTTTATTTGGAAACAGACGTCCAAGAAAATTGTGCTGGCGGTCTTCCGGCAGTAAAATGTCAGACAGTGGTCATGACGAATTGTTACTACGACAAACAGCATTCTCAAGCGTCCGAGGTTTTCCGTGGACTCGCGCAAACGTGCGAGGAATGTTTGCGCTGGAAAATTCGCAAAACCTAGCGTCGGTATTCGTGTCAAGTGTGCCGGTTCGTTTAAAGCCTGCAGACGCTCTCTAATAATTAATAACGGCTAAGCCAGTCCCGTCTGGTAATCATTTTCAACGTCATTTTCTATTTGGAGATTCCCGTCGAAGCGGTTCTGCATACAATCGACGGGAAACGTTGATGCGAAGCAACGTGAAAAGAAGATACCGCTTATCTCTGTGTTTCTGTTTAAACTGTTAATTTTTATGGTGATTGGAGTCTCGTGAGTTGCCGCGTAAGAGAAGAGGATGAATCTATAATCTCTGTCGAGAATTTCACCGAGCAAATGAGCAATTCTATTGTGTAGTCTTGAAACAGTTGAATTGAACGTCGCGATTGATCATGCAATGCGAAAGAGGTATACGATCAATGTGTTTAGTGACGATCATGGCCCTGGCAGTGCAGGTATAGTAAGATAAAAGATATTTTTAAACTAACTGTCTTCCCTTTAAGTTTCAATCCTATCAATTAATTGACAGATATCATTGAAATGGACGCTGAAATCTGAGAATGCAATTAGAATGAGTTACAGGATATTTTTAAACTAATTGTCTTCTCTTTAAGTTTGAATCCTGCAAATTATTTGACAGATATCATTGAACTGGACGCAGAAACCTAAGAATGCAACATTCAGATCATGAATATTTAATAATATAATATAATATGTAATATAATTAAAAGATAAATTTAAAGATGGGAATGTTACTTTAAATATTGTTTACGTCAGTAAATTAAAAGAAACAAACTTCGATTCCGTTATTTAAAGTCTCATTGATCTGGAAATGTGACGACAGCCTAACTAACCTGTACTAAATTGTTTCCTGTGCCGAATTGCAACCTATCCGATTATCAATAAACGCATCAAGATGCGGAATCCAGCATCATGAACAAATATAAGTAGAAACCAGCATATGGAACAGCCTGGCATCGAACCCTCATGTAATTAGGCTCATCTAAATCGGTCCCAATTAAACCGTGAACGAGGGTGAGTCGGGTGAACAGTCATAGAAACACGAGTTCATGGGAACAGAAACTTTATTGAACTTGAATTGCAATCGGTTCCGCGCTGAGAATCAAGACAGGGATTAGGTTCGACGACATTTGCATTGCGTGGATGGTGATCACTTTAAAAAACACTCTTCCCTAAACGATCACGCTCTCTCTCTCTCTCTCTCTCTCTCACTCTCACTCTCTCTTTCTTTCTCTTTCGCTCTCTTTCTCGGTATGTGTTTTTTTTTGTGTTGTCGAGGCGTGAATTCGTCGGGATACATCTTCGGTTATACGTAAGCACGTATACATAATAGTAGATATACATACATACATACATACAGAAGGGGCGCGTGTAATATTACATTCGCGTTACACACGCAGTACATATACCGTTTCCCGAGAAAAAAAAACGATGACAAACGGTCAATAATAAAGACGAGCTATAGTAATCCTTCGACTATTTTCTTGTTTATATTACACTTTGAACAGCCGCGACCGTTTCAGTCTGACGCGATGCCCCGCAACCATTTCGCATTTTTATGATTTCGCGAACGAAGTTTAGTGACATCGCCATCTTGGGGATTCACCCCTATTTACAAGAATTAATTCGCGGGTAGAACCCCACGATTGGCACAATTCGATTTTATAATAGCTCTAAAACGCACCGGAAAATCGCCTTCCACGGTGAAATTCTCGCTGAAGTTCAAACCGTATTTCTTTCACGCGAAAATCTACGTCTCGCCTCGTCTCATAGAAAATTCGTTAGATTCTCTCGGAGATCATTATAGAGTGTACATTTTTACGTAAGCACAAATTTTTGTGAAATATGCAAGAAATGTTTGCGAAGTAAGCACACAGAAATTTTTCTGAATGTTTGTGACTTAAGTACTTCTTGTGACATAAGTACTTTTTGTCACTTAAGTGCTTTCTGTGACATAACTACCTTTCATGACTTAAGTACATTTTGTGTGACTTCAGCACTTCTTGTGACACAAGTACTCTCTGTGACGTTGGTACTTTCCGTGACTTATGTACCTTTTGTGACGTAAGTACAAATTTTTGCAACTTAAGTGCACATTTCTGTGACTTGTGAAGTCTCAAGGATTCGAATAGAAGTTTTACANCAGTAAATTAAAAGAAACAAACTTCGATTCCGTTATTTAAAGTCTCATTGATCTGGAAATGTGACGACAGCCTAACTAACCTGTACTAAATTGTTTCCTGTGCCGAATTGCAACCTATCCGATTATCAATAAACGCATCAAGATGCGGAATCCAGCATCATGAACAAATATAAGTAGAAACCAGCATATGGAACAGCCTGGCATCGAACCCTCATGTAATTAGGCTCATCTAAATCGGTCCCAATTAAACCGTGAACGAGGGTGAGTCGGGTGAACAGTCATAGAAACACGAGTTCATGGGAACAGAAACTTTATTGAACTTGAATTGCAATCGGTTCCGCGCTGAGAATCAAGACAGGGATTAGGTTCGACGACATTTGCATTGCGTGGATGGTGATCACTTTAAAAAACACTCTTCCCTAAACGATCACGCTCTCTCTCTCTCTCTCTCTCTCTCACTCTCACTCTCTCTTTCTTTCTCTTTCGCTCTCTTTCTCGGTATGTGTTTTTTTTTGTGTTGTCGAGGCGTGAATTCGTCGGGATACATCTTCGGTTATACGTAAGCACGTATACATAATAGTAGATATACATACATACATACATACAGAAGGGGCGCGTGTAATATTACATTCGCGTTACACACGCAGTACATATACCGTTTCCCGAGAAAAAAAAACGATGACAAACGGTCAATAATAAAGACGAGCTATAGTAATCCTTCGACTATTTTCTTGTTTATATTACACTTTGAACAGCCGCGACCGTTTCAGTCTGACGCGATGCCCCGCAACCATTTCGCATTTTTATGATTTCGCGAACGAAGTTTAGTGACATCGCCATCTTGGGGATTCACCCCTATTTACAAGAATTAATTCGCGGGTAGAACCCCACGATTGGCACAATTCGATTTTATAATAGCTCTAAAACGCACCGGAAAATCGCCTTCCACGGTGAAATTCTCGCTGAAGTTCAAACCGTATTTCTTTCACGCGAAAATCTACGTCTCGCCTCGTCTCATAGAAAATTCGTTAGATTCTCTCGGAGATCATTATAGAGTGTACATTTTTACGTAAGCACAAATTTTTGTGAAATATGCAAGAAATGTTTGCGAAGTAAGCACACAGAAATTTTTCTGAATGTTTGTGACTTAAGTACTTCTTGTGACATAAGTACTTTTTGTCACTTAAGTGCTTTCTGTGACATAACTACCTTTCATGACTTAAGTACATTTTGTGTGACTTCAGCACTTCTTGTGACACAAGTACTCTCTGTGACGTTGGTACTTTCCGTGACTTATGTACCTTTTGTGACGTAAGTACAAATTTTTGCAACTTAAGTGCACATTTCTGTGACTTGTGAAGTCTCAAGGATTCGAATAGAAGTTTTACATCGAGTTTTATGCTTCAAAATGGAAGACTTGTTGCACGTCTTGTGAATTGTCTCGAAGGTCCCAGTTCTAAATGAAAATCTTGTTACAGTATCATTAATTATACATCATCAAATTCCAGATGTCTACAAAATGAACAGCAAGAATCGAACAAGAATATTCCTGTTACGGATTCATTTCCTGAATCAATAGAAATCATCGTTACAAAGTTCCTAGATACCAATAGTACATCTCAGATTATATTTCAAGTAAAATGAAGATCTTGTTACAATCCTTCTAACGGCAATAATCAAACAATTTTAAGTTACAATCAAACAGTTAAAATTCTCGAAAGAGGTATCAGACAGTTATTTGATGCAAAGTATCGAACGAAAACATTGTAGCTTAAAGATTCACGTTTCGAATGAGTTGATAATCTCGTTAAATTTAGACTGCAAGTTGCAAACATCAATGTAAACATAGACGCGCGCGATCTCCAATACCCATAATCGATCACGATATCGGATTCCGCGTGAAAGATCTTGTCGAGATGCTTGACAAATGCATAAGATCCGCAGGCAGCTGCACGAAGTGCACCGTGAAAGATAAGCGACGTATCTACCTCGTGGGGTCTCAGGCATGCGGGGTTCTACTCTCGAATCGGAATATACATAGTTTCCCTTACACATTTATTTATACAGCACACATATATTCTTCTCCTAACACATCGTTTTAATACAAGTGGAATTGGTAGCGGCGGCCTCGAAAAACGATTCTTGCGGTTCACGTCTCCGGCAAGAGACTCGGCGCCGAGGAGCGCACCAGGAGTTAGTCCATTGCTGGACCCTGCCTCGAGCCAGGCTAGCCCGGAGACGTCTGCGCGTTGTCGGTTCGAGGACTCGATTCGATCCGATCCGATCCGATCTGATTCGATTCGCGGTATTTACAACGAATTATGCTAATCGATCCGGAGCCGTTGGCAGGTCGGAGTAACTCGTTGGGTTCTCGATTTGGCACGACTAGCTTAGCACCCCTGCTATCGACCCGCGATCATCTCGGAGCAGGTCACCTCGTCACTATCCCGGACCTAATGCCACGACCCCCATAGCAAAGAATTCACCATAGTTCTCGGAGGAGACACTGATCATCCTTAGACGCTGGACCCGGTGCTGGAGGTGGCCGGGACGTAGTAACTCCTGGCCTGCAGGTGATTGTGCAGATGCAGCCCGGAGATCTGAGGACTCGAGTTCTGAAGGGTCTGGTTGCTCCAGTGTGCTCCGGAGGAGATGACCTTGACGTCGGGACTGGCCGAGGGGGTGTTGGGTGACGGCACGGCGTTCGTCTCGGCGACCACGTCTACGTCGACGTCCTCCTCGTCCTGGTCCGGCTCGTGGAGGTCGTGCAGCTCGTCCTCGCTGCAGCTGAACCGTCTGCTCTTTATTGGCTTCAGGTCGGACTCGATCTGATGCTGGTCGTCGGGCGCCAGCAGCGACGCTACGTCGAACAGCCTCTTCCTCGAGGGTTGAAACGAGGACTGCCTCAGCGTCTGGCTCTGAAAGTTCTGTTGTTGGTTCTGTTGTTGTTGTTGTTGCTGCTGCTGCTGCTGCTGCTGCTGGTGGTGCGGATGATGATGATGCGTCCAGATGCTGGAGATTGTCTGCGACGCGACCGGCGGACCGAGGGTGGCTGGAGGAGGCGGTGTCGCGGGTAACGGCGGCGGACTGGGACTGTCGGGCTCCTCGTCCACTGCCAGACCCATGTGCCTGCGGACTTTCCTTTGGGCCTTGCGTCTTCGGAAGTCCCCGCGCCGGAAGTCCTCCAAGTTGGCGGGGTGTATAGCCCAATAGTGCCCCTTTCCGTTCGCGCTTCTGCCGGATTTCACGAAGCAGTCGTTCAGAGACAGGTTGTGCCTGATCGAGTTCCTCCAACCTGGTCCCCGGGAGCGGAAGTAAGGATAGTGCTCTAAAATGTGCTGATAAATGTCCGACAACACCAGCTTCTTCTCGGGCGAGGACAAGATCGCCATGGCGATCAGGCCGATGTAGCTGTGCTGGGGTTTCGGCTCCTCCGGTATTCTCTGATGGTGAGGGTGCAGCAGAGCCATCGACAGAGCCAGTCGGCTCGGGTACCCGGCGGCGGCGGTCGTTGGGTACAGCGGCAACGGAGCCGGGAACCCGGGGCTGATCCCCAAGTGAGTCGGGGCGCTGGAAGGCGGTGGACCGACCCCCGGATGCTGGGGATGCAACTGTTGAGCCAGCCGCAGCCTCTCTGCCATCGCGTAATGGTACAATTGAAGACGGTAGTGCTCGAGACCAGGCAGGAACCCTGCCATGGGGTTCCCGAGGCCGACGGCCAGCGGCTCCTTCGCCGGCGGAGGACTCTCATTGCTGCACATGCTGATAATTACACTAGCAATCAGATCTAACCTGATTTCTTCTCGATCTTCTTATCTAGATGGTATTGCACTTGGCTTTCACGTTTCACACAAACTTTCACGAGTCTGTCTGTCCCGGATCATTTGGGATTCCGCGATGATCGAGTGTCTCACTGGAGCGTCGTGGTACGGCGTGTCCTCCGGAAGGACGAACAGATTGTAGCGCAGGAGTAGCGTAGAACGAAATTATAGATTGTCTCTCCGGCACGATCGATCGCGGGCTCTCGATGTTTTCCGACGGTTTTCGGGCTGTTTGTCACGATGCGCTCCGAGCGACCGACTGGTCATGATTTACGATTCGGCCGCCTGCCAGGAGCACCGATGGCTTCTCCCCACCTGGTCCCACCGGGGAAAAGCAGGCAGGCTCCGCCCGTTCGCCCAGAACGGAGCGCGGGCTACAGCCTGGAAACCAGAGCCCCGTGTGCCGATTCTCCGACCAATAAGCACCGAGAGGGCGGCCGAAGATGGAACCCTCTGCCATCCGCCACACCTACCACGATGGATATTGATCCTGAATTCTGTAAACTACCACCGGGGGCGGTGGTGGTGCGACGGCGTCGCCTTGTCATGGTGTTCCCCTGCCCCGTTGTCTCTTATCAGACCGGCTACAAAGCTCGATATCATAGCCGATTCGCAGCCGACCGGCGAGAAAATCACCGACGCGTTTTCTCCTTTGCCCGAGAATCTTACTCGAGACGCTGCCACCACCGCCCCGACCCCCGGCCCAGTCCTGCCCAAGTGGCGGCGGTTTGACACAAGAATGCTGACAGCGATCCGGTATTGGGAATCGATCCCGGAATTCTTAATCGAGAATCGATCGAGCCGATCGATTGCAAAATTCTTTCTATATTGAGCTATAGCGTGGATTTTGCAAGCATGGTTCTCGATTATTTTTATTGTATTTTAGTTTTAACGAAGTAACGTTTATTTATTTATTTATTTATTGAATATGTGCGGGACGTTAACTATTAGTTATAAAATTACAAATATGGTCAATCTCTCTACGGACTATAGTAACGTTGCGATATTAAGTAACGCGCCTTAAATTCTGTTTGAAAGAATGTAGTGGATGATTGAAAAAATCGATAGAAGAGTGCACGCTATTTCCAATATAATTTTCCCTATTTCGAGCTCGGTATGGTATCTGTAAGTTGTTCTATGTTTTTGAGTATGGAGAGGTTCTTTGGATCTGAGATGAAATATTGGAGCATTCAGGTGAAACTACTCCAATAATTCTGGAGCATCAAGGAGGACTTTATACGCAATGATAATATCATATCTTTTCCTTTTCTGCCCAAGTGTGGTTACAGAGTAATATATTTAATATACTTTAGAATATACTCTTTATAATATAGAAGAATCGATACGTGTTTACAGTTCGACCGACGAAACAAGAGCGCGGTTGTTAGACAATGCCAAATATCTTTAGCCTAATAAAAGGTGTCTGACAGATGTCACGATTTGTCAATTACAATAATTTTCATCGCGCTTTTGTTCCAAGCGTTGTTGTATTGGTTTGTCAAAGAATTTCTTTCTTATTTCGTGTTATTATTTTTATTTTGGATCGTTTTGGTTATATTTTTATTCTATACGATCCGGTTGCCTCTTTATGGATTTAGTGTTCAGGTCGATTTGATAGCAAAGATCTTCTTCTTAACACTCGGACTGCGGACATCGGATCCATTTTGACCCCCCGAGTATAAATATTGTTATTAAATTGTTCAGTTTCCGACGATTGTTTTTCATTTGCACATGTTTTGTCAACGTCGACAGAAAAATTAACGTGTCTAGGGGGAGTAGCGCGAAAAGTATGTTGAAAAAGTTGCTAAATAAAATTATGAATGATCCTAAGCATATGCGGTTACATTTTCGTCAAAAACGTCCGCCGTTCAAGTGTTAAATAACGCTGTTGTCTTTTCCGAACGGGTTGTTTTTATGTTAGGTGACCGAATACCTAAAATCATGTTACTGAAAGTATTCACAGAATTTTCAAGAGAATCATAATGCGAAACTTCGCAATCTTGGGAAACGTGGTACCATAATAGGGTCAAATACTCAAAACTAAGGATCATGTATAGTCAAATAATTATTTCATTACATAATACTGGAATTATCTCCATCGAAACAAACACGTTTGCGATACAATGCACACGTAGTTTACGCAGTTGTAAAGCAGCCATAAATTTCAAGGAATGCAAGGATTTCGACAAACTGTTCATAGTTCGTTAAAATTATTCGTGGAAGGAATAAACCAATAAATTTCTGTTTCTCGCAACTGATGCGGACAATTTTTAGGTTACATAAAGAACTGCAGTCTCCTGTTGTAGTCATTCAAAAGAAAACATTTTATCTCGTTAATATTGTTGAACAAATATGTGTACTCTATGAGGAATGCGGCAGCTGTTTCAACACTTGTGTGTCATTTCTATTTATGTTGCAATCACATATCAAACAGCGAATAGCGTATGGAATCAATAAAACCGTTTCTCCAGAAACATTCGATACCTTTCTTCGATTGTATAATCAAACGTAACTTTCTTCTAACTATCATAAAAATCAGCAAGATCCTTAAATTCTGAGATCATTTTTGCTTTCTGTCTCGTCTATTAGTTCTCGCCATAAATGCGCGACAGTCCAATGGCCAGCCATATAAAATAACATTGCAACAAATCTACATTAGAATATAAAGTTTCATATCTGCAACATCTTAACAAGGTACCTAAACAAACATACAATATAATCGTTCCAGTGCCTTTGAAAATGCTCCGAAAACCTGCAACCAGTTCTGGAGAGTTCACTCCAAAGTACTATTGGCGTTTGACGAATAATAAACACGAAACTTGTCATTGTTCGAAGCTTTTCATTCTTCGTATGATAATTCAATGCTAACGGAAAACCGTCTGAGCCAATGACCAGGTTCGAACGACGGTAAAAAGAAGCCTCTGGGGTCGTCAGTCATCGGGGTGGTTTCGAAGGGGCGGCAAACGAGGAATTCGTTCTCGCAGCCCCTTGGGGAGGTGTGCGGGGCCTCTTTTACAGAATCCTTTTGCTCGTTGCCCGGTCGACGAACAAAAGGAAACGAGTCCGGCCGCGCGCATTTATATGGAGGCGCCGCCCTGCAACTATTTGTAAGCATCCGCCATTCTGGTTTCATATCTGCCGTTTCGGCTTGCACAAAAACACTATTTTTCAGAGCGGCCCAGCTGCAATATGGCGTTTACCGAGGCCGCCGACGTGCATCGACTCCGATTGCAATTGTTGCGTTTCATTGCAAATAACAGCCTCGCTCGTTCCCTCCTCGACCCTCGCCCCTCGTTCCTCGCCGCCTCTCTCCCTCTCACTAACCCCGTGCGATCGC